CAAAGTGCTACGCAAATGCTGAATACAAAGCAAGTAAGTGCTAGTCTTATTGAAGCAACACAAAGTATTATGGGCACATATTGATTGGTCCAAGTGCTACGTGCTGGCAATGAGTTTAAGGGGTGCCATCACATAGAAAGAAATCTCCTTATCCAATCAAATCTTTCATTAAAAAGTAAAAGCTACTGCTGAATTGTGCCTCTTGGGAGGCACTTTGCTCAGTGATGCACTAACTAGCAAAGTGTTGAGGATCTAACCTCAGACCACACGTTCTCTGGGAGACCCAGAGCTGCTTCTGCCTGTGTGGCTGAGTTCTAGACGGGCTCTCGACCCATCCACACAGGCAGACAGGAGCTCTCAAGACTCTGCAGGCTGGAGGGGCTCTCTGAAGCCACTCAGCTGTGCCGCTCCAAGAGGGAAAGCGGCTTTGGACAGTGCGTCCCACATGGCGTTGCTAGCTTCCAGTAACCCCAGACAGACCACGGCTGCCGGCCCACAAGCTCGAGCTGGGCATCCGTTCTGGACTAGAAGTACACTCTCCTGCAGTAACTCGTCTCACAGGAATCCCATCTTGGGACCAACTCAATCAGTTTTCCACAGCATAATCTCCATCTAGTTAATAAATGGAGTAACAGCAAAGAATTTAGTTAAGCACAGGTGGTTAGAAACCTTAATTCTATCCCATCTTCCTTGTAGTTTCCACGAGTCACTCCTTTTCTTAAATTGCATTATTATTATTATTATTTTTTGGAGACAGGGCCTCGCTCTGTCACCCAGGCTGGAGTGCAGTGGCATGATCACTGCTCACCACACCTCGACTTCCAGGGCTCAGGTGGTCCCCCCATCTCAACCTCCTGAGTAGCTGGGACTACAGACATGTGCCACCATGCCTGGCTAATCTCTGTGGGTTTTTTTGGGAGAGACAAGGTCTTGTCAAGTTGCCCTGGCTGGTTTTGAACCTCTAGGCTCAAACAATCCTCCCAAAGTGCTGGGATTATAAAAAGTGTTGGCTGTGAGCCACCACACTGGGCCCTTCATTATGGGTCCTCAAGGCCTCGAATTTTCTCCTCAAAATATGGTGTTTAGCCCCAAATAAAAAATTCTATTGACCAAAACTTCTGGCAGGCCCACACTTGGGCTTCCCTCTAAGTCCCAGCAGCATCTAGTGTGAACCAACACCCCTGCCCTTGCTACCTGACCCCTTGACCAGCTTACCACAAGAACCCTGCCGACTCACCCCCAAGGTTTGCTCGGCAATCTTCCCCCACCTGACTGCAGCCTACCCCTCAGGTCTGTCTCCACTAGTCCTTGCTGGAGAGCTGCATCCACCTCCCACCCCGCACGCAGGGCCCAGGCAGGAGGCCTGACACCCCGTCCATGGCAAGTGTCATACATAAGTCCTAACAGTGCTGAATATAGAAAGAATGCTTACGACGGGAAATCAGTAACAGAAATGCAGGAACTGAAAGAATTTTGAGTCGTTTACCATCTTCTACTTTAAAGCAAATTCTAGTCACTCAAAGAGGGAGAAGACACTTCCCGTTTCAATGTGAGGAGGATCCGGACCAAAGCCCATGACAGGACTAAGCATGCAAGAGCTGTGACTGTGACCAATAAGGCTTCCTCCGTGAAAGCCGGTCATCCACGCTTCCCTAGACTGTGTATCCAAGGAAGCTGGAGAGGATGCCGGCTGTGACATCAAACGCACCAGAAGCACCCAGAGGGAGTCCAAAGCCAAACCCAAGCCTCCGAGCATCGGTGCTCTTGTTCAGCAGCTGAACCTGTGTAACACTTACTGTCAGGGTGGTTCTAAGGACTGAAAGAAAATACTGACCCCAAAGCAAGTGACACAACACACAGAGCAAGGTGTCAGTAAACACACTGTGTAACAAAGTGCACTCACAAAGGAAAACAAAACCTGCATGGAGCTTCACGAACCCTGTGTCGGCAGCTACACCAGCCCAGGAGCGGTTCCATGTCGGCCACCACTTACCCGTGTCTGCTGACGGTCAATGCAGCTCCAGGGAGTCACCCAGTCCAAGTAGCTCCCACAATCTGCCAGCCGCCCTACTGTATGTGTTTTTTTTCCTGTGACTGCCCTTTCTACAAATCTGAATAAAGTGCTTCTGTTCTCTCTGCCTTCTCCAGGAGAAGGTTTTCTAGTTTCTAGAAAAAAACAGGAGGTTTTCTAGTTTCTATAGTCTACTTCTTTCAGATCTTGGTATTTTAAATAAATTCTAATTGGAACAAAAAAGCTTTGTGTCCCTTTTAAAAGAATTTCAGAAATCACATGATCAAAGAATAAGCAGTTGACTTGCAAATTCATGGCTGCTGGTAAGGGGCTTCTGTAGTTTGGAAAAATATATTCTAAAAACTACCACTGTTTTTGTCATAACATTTATTTTAAAATTCCAAGTGATACTAAAAAAGGGCAAAAGCATTTAAAAATATAAATATATTAAAACAGAGTGTAAGTAAAAAGAAAAAAATCGAGAGGCATTGCCCTAGCTAGACCTTTGTGGAACACAAAACTGTAATCACCACTCTGCTGCACCTTACTATTAAATACAGATGGCACAGCCTTTCTAGAGCTTTAACAACTTGATTATCAATTGCTTTCAAAAGTAATTTATTTGGATTTTTCCATATCCTTTAATGAATTGCAAATATATTAACAGAAAAGACTCCCCCCCCCCCACAAGACTATACAATTTCTGAAGTCAGGAAAAGCAAAAAGAAGACACACAATTACATTGTTTCAATGCAAACAGAACACACACATCACACCCACACTTGCATTTTCCCAGGTTTTCACAAAGAAAACAGGTCACCATATTTCTCAGTGAAGACCCGTACTGTACTCTGGCTAATCAGAGACTTCCAAACTTTTTTCTTCAAAAAGAGCATTTTTAATAGACTAAATACTGGTTATCACTGAGTTTTTGTTTAAGGTACAACAGCAGCATGGTTCAAATGTTATTTGCAGTTCTTGGAAAAAATAAAAATTTTAAAGTAATGAAATACAGAAAAAGTAGGGACCACCTTTCATTATTTTGAGTACCATTGGTCTCTTGAAAAAATATTCCAATCTTCTAAAATCCCAGAGTTAAGAACCATTTCCAAGGGGAAAAATAAATACAACGCCACAACATAACGGTTGAACAAAAGTGTGTGCGTGCGTGTGTGTGTGTGTGTGTGTGTGTGTGTGTAACAGAAAAGGATGTCAACATACTAAGTAGTTTTAATTTCCTTCAGGGTGACTTCTGAAGTCTGAAGCAAACATTTTGTTTGACCAAAATGTACTCTTTTGGTTGTTTGATCCCCTTTCCATGCTAAGAGCAAAAAACAAAAAGAGCCAGAAGAGTTACTGGATGGGAAATAAGGCTCAGATGCCTACACGACTTTGGAAACAGGCAAGAGGGAAAGCGAGAGCAGGCCGGGCCTGGGCTAAAAGCGCCCTTACCAGCTGCTGCCATGGTGTGCCTTCCACACTGCCCTTTTATCCTTGGTCTCAACATCAGCACCAGAAACTCCCACCTCTGGCACAGGACGTGCACTCCTACTGTAAAAAGATAACTCATTACACCTCAGCAAATGACGTACTAGCTTAACTTCCTCCATGTTTTGTCACAGTGGACTCAGGGTTTTCTATGAAACTCTAGATTTGAGACTGTTATAAAGCACCTTATGATTTGCCAATTAAAAAAATAAAAGAATCTAAAATTAAATATTACAGAACTAATAGATAATAAAATTGAATATTTGTTAGAATTCAAGTGCTAGCTTCTGGGAATTTTTAGCAATATTCATATACTCCCAGCCTTTTCTTTATAAATTATTTTTCTAAATGGTAGCTTTCGGTAGGAAATTTTGTTAAAGACCTCTCTGGCACCCAATACCTAATCCAGACTCTGACTTGAATTAATTTATAATGGTAGCTGATCCATGTTCAAATGAGATGAACAGTAAATGATAGGAAATTACTGAGTTTATAGGCTAAACAATTTTTCACATCTTTTGTAACCCACATTTTCACAGCTTGACTAACAAATACAGGTAGCCAGTAGGTAAGTTTGTCCTTCATCAAATAATCCAAAATAATAACTGTAGGCCTGTCACTCATAAGAAACTATAAGTTGTTATATTTTGACACTGGCACTTAATAAAATGTTTAACAACTAAGTTTCTCTAAAAATTCCAATACATTACAATAAAGGAGATACACAATTTAAGACTGTTTAAATCTGTTACTGTGAAATTCCAATTTATATGCATAATTAGATCTTTAAATTTGCAGCCATTTTCCAAAGACACTAACCTATATTATGACAAACTCAGCAGAGAACTTGTCTCTCCTTCATAAGAATGTTTTTTTCCCCCAAGTTAAAAATTTCCAATATCCTAAACCCGATCACTCTTAGTAAGCGTTTTGGTGACTCATACTGCTGAAAATAATCTGAAGCAGAGAGTCAGAGAGAATGGCAATGACCTCAACCAAATGTAACTGTACATTCCTCCACTTTGCTGAAACACTCAGAAACGCCAAGGGGATACTTCTTGAACAAATATAGATTCAAGGTTACAGCACAATTCTGATTGTATTAAGGCTTTCACTACCATGATCTCTTACACTTGAGAGTCCTCATCCTGATTCTAAGGTGAACATCGATGATCTTAAGGGCAGAGTTTTGGCTTTTCAGGGGGGACCCACCCCAACATCTCGAATGCTACAGGGGACCCCACAGAGCTCAAAGAGAAGAGGCAACATGGTAAGGACCAGTTTTAAAGTCTGCAATACCAAGACAACAATGATCAATACTTTGAAACAAGATGAATAAATTAAAATTCTTGGTGAGACATGAAAGCGTTCTTGCCAAGAACAAGCGTACACTGCATGGAGGGATATCTGATTCCTAGACACGAGTCCCAGTGTGCCCATAATGTCTGTTTACAGACACTGCAAGTTAAGGTAACGTACATTCCTTGGCAACCACTGTTACAGGCAATGTCTTTATTGTTCCGTCTGGCACTTGCTACCCCATTCTTGAAGAGCCTAGAAATGAAGGCCAGTCACTCTGTTACTCAGGAACAGAAGCAAATAAAAACACAGTTTTGGAAAACGACCAAGAAATTCTGGTTCATCACTACTTTCCACAGCTAACAGTTCCTCCAAGAGAAAACAACTCTTCCTTCCATGATAGTTTTCCAATAAAGGGAGATTAAAGAAAAAAAAAAAAAGAAAAGAAAGCTCCCCCCACCCCTATATTGTCATTCGTACTGGTGAAAGAGCCAGTCTTGTTAGCAGCTCAATATTGCACTGCCTTTCATTCTGGGTACAGTCAGGGTCCAATGAAAGTGGCACACACATGGCATAAGGGATGGATGGTGACACTGCCGGCTCCAGACTGACGACGCGGGACATGGAGGGACAAGAGACGTCAGCACTAGTCACACATCCAGTCGCAAAAGCCTCGCTTCTGAGAGTTAAAACTCATCGCTTTCAGCTGCATGAAGCTGTGTGTCGTCTGCATCCGTCATGCTGCTCTCCTGGGATTCATCTGTTCCCACTTTAAAAATCAAGCAAACATCCACAGTAAGGAGTGTTGGTTCACAAAAACAGGCGAGGAGAACTGTGTTACATTCAGAGGCAAAACCCTAAACAAAGGCCTTTACAGAGCCTGGATCCTTTAGTAAAATGCAATTAAAGTTCCTTATTTTATAACAGGTCTGAGAAAATTCATTTACTGCATTTATCTTTAAGGTTTTAATGAACCACACGGCCTCTCCCAGCACTCCGTACTCCCTCCTTGAGATCTGGAACTGGCTAGTTCTCCACGACATAAGAGACTGATATGTCCCCAGCCCCCCACCACTGAGACTACTTGCCTGCTGGTCCACGAAATACAAAATACAGCTGTAAGTATAAAAAGGCTTGTTGGGATAACAGGAATTATAACTTTTTTTTTCCTTTTTTGAGTTGGAGTCTCACTCTGTCACCCAGACTAGAGTGCAGTGGCCGCTCCCGGCCACCACAGCCTCGACCTACTGGGCTCCAGCGATCCTTCTGCCTCAGCCTTCCAAGTAGCTGGAATTACAGGCTCACGCTACCACGCCCGGCTGATTTTTTTATTTATTGTAGAGATGAGGTCTCGCTGCCCAGGCGGGTCTTGAACCCGCGGGCTCAGGCAATCCACTCACCTCAGCCTCCCAAAGGCGTGGGATTACAGGCTGAGCCACCAAGCCCGGCTAGGAATTATAATTTTAATTAAAGTCTTTCACCAAATTTTCTGGAACAAAGACATCGAACCAGAATTCATCTTATCAGAAATGTCACCTGTCTCCTATCATATGGTGCTGATATAGTAAGCCTTTGTTCTCACTTTGTTTTTTGGGTTTTTTTTGAGTTGGAGTATCACTCTGTTGCCCAGACTGGAGTGCAGTAGCTGCTCCCAGCCATTGCAGTCTCGACCTGCTGGGCTCCGGCAATCCTTCCACCTCAGCCTTCCAAGTAGCCGGAACTACAGGCGCGCGCTACCAGACCCGGCTTATTTTTTAATTTATTGTAGAGTTGAGGTCTTGCTAAGTTGCCCAGGCAGGTCTCAAACCCACGGGCTCAGGCAATCCACTCACCTCAGCCTCCCAAAGCGCGGGATTACAGGCTGAGCCATAGAGCCCGGCGGTTCCCACTTTCTTATCTGAAGGCACACTCAGTGCAGGGATGGAGCATTCAATGTCTCCGCTATAATTCTCTCTCCCCCTTCCTTTCCTTCCTAAACCCTACATTTAGATTTATTAGGCAACTATTTGGATGTTAGATTTGCAGGAGCTACAGAGAACCTGAATAGCCACTACTACAGGTCAGTCAATACTTTGCTCTTTATTATTTTTTGTAGAGATGAGGTCTTGCTATGTTGCCTAGGTTAGTCTTGAACTCCTGGCCTCAGTGACCCTCCTGCCTTGGTCTCCCAAAGTGCTGGGACTGCAGACCTGAGTCACTGTCCCCAGTCATCATTTGTCAGTACTTTAAAACATGCACAGTTATTACTCATTCACGTAGCCACTAGAATGTTTTCAACATATACTATCAACTTCATTTCCCTACTACATTCTTACCTGCTTCAGAGTAGATAAGGAGATACTGGTTACATGTTCGAACATAAATTGAGGCCCAGGTAAAAATCAGCAATGAATTTATCAAAGTCATACAGCAAACTAGATCCAGAACTGAGACGAGTTACCTGGCTTCACAAGCATTTTGTTATCACATCACCCTGCTCAGTTTCCCTAAAATTCCATTTGGTATAAAGAGTTAAACCTCACAGTTACAAAAATGAACAAAAGAACAGCCAACAGATCCTTCAGTAGCTTTCTGAGTACTCAGAATCGTATGTGTGATACTTATGAATCTGAATACTTGGAATCATATTATAGTAAGTGATACTTACTAATCTGCTCCTCCTGGGTTATTGGCTCCTCATCATCAGGAAGATAGCGCTTATCGATTGCCTCTTTGATCTGGTTATTGGCTCCTTTTGGATCTAGATCCATAGCCCAAGAAAAATTCATCAGGGCGAGGTGCGTTTGCCCTAACTTCTTGTAAACCTGAAAATAAACAGCAGCACTACATTTTTCATTAAGTTGTGAGCTTCAACTACAAAGCCCTAAACACTTATAATTTAAACCAGGCCCTTGATTTATGTGCCCCACACCCACTCTGACAGGTAGGTCATTTTCACCCTACAGATGAACTCTTGCCAGTTTCTGAGTTTGGACATTGTTGCTAACATGCTTAGACACTGTTTTCAGAATCCCTTGCCTCTTTTCAGGTAGTGAGTTTCCAATCAGTCTCACTCGAACAATGGTAATGGAAATAAATGGACTACAAGCTGCTTAATTAACATTCATTTGCAGTGATTTGTTTTGAGTCAGTCTCACTATGTCACCCGGGCTGGAGTACAGTGGCACACTCAGGGCTCACCATAGCCTTGACCTCCTGGGTTCAGGTGATCCTTTTGCCTCAGCCTCCCAAAGTGCTGGGATGACAAGCGTGAGCCACCATGCCCAGCTACAGTGATTTTAAATGGAGCACTATCAACTCTTAATACCTGTCCATGGTTTCAAGATACCTTAGCCAACTGGCATCCAAGGTCCAGTTTGTAAAGGACTGACTAGTGGTCTTGGCAATCTTTGAAACTATTTCCTCTAATCAAGACAACACAGTGCCATTAGTGTTCTTCTGCTGGGAGATTTCTAAGTAGTTAATTGGAAATCGGAAGCTAAGGGCTTTCCACAGAGTAGTCTCAGGAACTCGGTATAGGCCTCCGACTGCAGGTACCAGTGTACTTCCTTTTTTTTTTTTTTTGAGTTGGAGTCTCACTCTGTCGCCCAGGTTGGAGTGCAGTAGCATGCTCACAGCCACCCCAGCGTCAACCTGCTGGGCTCAGGTGATCACTCTGCCTCAGCCTTCCAAGTAGCTGGAACTATAGGCATGCGCTACCACACCCGGCTAATTTTTTGAGTTTATTGTAGAGAAGAGGTCTTGCCAAGTTGCCTGGGCTGGTCTCAAACCTGCGGGCTCAGGCAATCCACTTGCCTCGGCCTCCCAGAGTGTTGGGATTATAGGCTGAGCCACCGAGCCCAGTCTCAGTGTACTTCTAATGCCATCACAAGGGGAGGACAGGACATGTGTGCTCTCGCTCCTTCATTAGGATAGCACCTTCCTAGATGTGAGAACTAAAACCACCATTCCCAGAGTTCTCAGTTTAAGCCAGAGCTCTAGGTGAATCTGCTTAATAGATGCTATTCGAATAAGCCTTACATTTATTCTTAGAAAATATAAAAGTTAGAATTTGCTAAGGAAGTCACAGTGTAAGACCCAGCCCCAGTCTTTACCTTTCCTATTAAGAAGTAAACGAGAGATTCTTTGGGAACAATTTGTTTCAATTCTTCAAGTTCTTGTAAAGCAGACTGAAAAAGGCACAAAAAAAAAATCCAACCTTAGAGTAGCAAAATTTTACAAAATTTTGACTATGCAAGTGTTTTTATTTATTTCCCAAATCATCTAACAAAAGCCAACTACATCTTAAAATACTTCCTTATTGCACCAGTTCCTGTTGTGAAAATGAAATGAAAAATACTTTAAAAACCTTAAGAACTAAGAAATGGCAGGCATTTACCAGAGAACACTGAAAACACAGACACACACACACACACACACACACCCTCTCTGTGAAATGTGCAGGTGTTGACAACCCTTGCTTCTGTCACCATTTTATTTAACATATCCACCACCACATCATGTGGTGTGTGGATGTGTGTGCAAGCGCCTTGAAACTGAGCCACACCTGGCTGCACCTACTCCCTGATGCAGACACCAAGCTTTGGACACCAACCTGTCAGATTTTAACTAAGAAGTGAAGTATAACCCTCCAACCTGAGTTCAACTGTCTAGTCATCTTCCGATCACTGCTAAAGGACTGGCAGATTAGGGAGAAATGCAAGAGAAAGAACTAGACTTACAGGTAAAGGAGAGATACCATCATTAAAAATAAAACTGGCTCCCAAACTAGATGCTGTCCCGATTTTCACCCAGTTCATGGACATGGAAAAGAATCATCTGATGTCACATAAAGTCAGCATGAGTGACGTGGAGCATAGTTCAGCGTTACCCATGACGACAGAAGTGCATGTGGCCATGGACTCCACAGCCCACACCACCAAAGTGTCCCAGGACTCCACAGCCCACACCATAAAAGTGTCCCAGTGATAGATTCATCCTCCTGAGAACACTTGGCCCAACATGACCATTGTTACTGTGAAACACTCAAAGCAGTAAAGGCATCTAATCACAGCCTCACCACTGATCATCCATCCTCCATGGAGTAACAGGTCTGCAGGTGCTCAACTGAGTGTAAAAGAAAAAAAGCGAAACCGAGATGCATGGCACCATGCCTCCTGTGCCAACACACATGGAACCCCACGCAGTCCAGCGATGTGGGTGTGAGCATACCTCACAAGGCGATTCCCGTGAGCACATGCACTGCCCTTTCTTTCCTGGCAGACCATATTACATATGTGAATGTAAGCAGGGTGGGGTGGTCCGCCCTCAGGACGGGGTGGGGCAGGAGGCATCCATGTCTCACACAGTGGCTTCTGCTGTATCTTGACTTCTCTAACCTCACCAAGTTTACACTTCATTTCCTTTGAATGCCCACAGAAGCCATCTGTTTTCTGTGTTCTCCTCTATACCTCTTCGTAGTAAAAGAAAAGCCAGTATAAGTTAGGTAAAAAAAAAAGACAAACACACAATCTAGGGACTCCCCATCTCGAGGTTGGGCTCTACTCACACCCCGAGTCTCCCACTATGGAGGCTGCACATCCAGGTGCCTGGGTGGGGCATGGACATCCCCAACAGGCCATGGTGCTGCGACTGCATTGTTCTGCTGTTCTGCTTTATTAGACGCAATGGAAAATAGACAAACACTGAGGACACCACATGAGGGAGCATGTTCTGAGCTGTTAATGGTGCTCCTCCCTGGAGGGTAAGCTTTTGAGGCACACTCAACTTTTATTCTCTACATTCTTATCTTATTTAAATTTTTTGTAAAAAACATTTTTCTTTCATTAAAAAAGTCAAAAGATAAAAAGAGCAAAAGCAGTGACCACAGATGGTAGCTAGTGAAGGTATCAGGATCATGAATTTATGTAGCCTGAGGGAACTTCTTTATTTGGTATAAAACTTTGGTTTAGTTTTAGTTTTGTTTAGTTTTTTTTTTTTTTTTGAGTTGGAGTCTCACTTGGTCGCCCAGACTGGAGTGCAGTGGCTGCTCCCGGCCACTGCAGCCTCGACCTGCTGGGCTCCGGCGATCCTTCCGCCTCAGCCTTCCAAGTAGCCGGAATTACAGGCATGCGCTTCCATGCCCAGCTGATTTTTTTTTTTGATTTATTGTAGAGATGAGGTCTTGCCAAGTTGCCCAGGTGGGTCTCGAACCCGCAGGCTCAGGCAATCCACTCACCTCAACCTCCCAAAGGCACGGGATTACAGCTTAGTTGAGGCACCAAGCCCAGCTTAGTTTTGTTTTTTTGAGTCAGGGTCTCTGTCGCCCAGGCTGAAGTGAAGTGGCATGATCATGGCTCATATCAGCCTTGATCTCCTCGGCCTAGGTCAACCTTCCACCTCAGACTTCTGAGTAGCTGCAACTATAGGTGTGTGCCAGCATGCCTGGCTAATTTTTGTATTTTTGTAGAGACAAGGTCTTGCTACGTGGCACAGGTTAGTCTTGAACTCCTGGGCTCAAGCAATTCTCCTGCCCTGGCCTCCCAAAGTGCTGGGATTACAAGCATGAGCCATTGCATCCAGCCACTTTAAAGAAATGTTCATCAGACCTTGTCCACAAAAAAACAAAAATGAGTTGGGTGTGGTGACATTCACCTGTAGTCCCAGCTACACATTGGGAGGCTAACGCAGGAGGATGCTCTTTGGAGGCTGCAATGAGCTGTGTTAGTGTCTCTGTACTCCAGCCTGGCCAATAGAGTGAGACCCTGATTCAAAAAAAAAAAGAGAGAGAGAGCAATGTGGGTTAGGTGATACAGCCCAGTCCTCCTCTGCGGCTGCAACATGCACACTGCAGGCGGATGTGTCCTGCGACTGCTCGTTGCAGCTGCCATCAAAACTCCATGCAGCCATCACACCTCTTCCTAGCCTCGACGTCTAATTTAAGACTCACTGAGAAGCAGTGTCTAACACACACCCCAGGTCTGGCTTCTGCCTTAAAAGTCAAGGGTTCAGTGATTGGATGTCAGTGAGCATACTAAGTGAGGTAATGGCTAGCAGTGCTTCAGTCTCAGAGAGGTCGCAGCAACCTTTTATGGCACTTATCTCCATTCTGGAGCCAGAACATCTCAGAAACTTAGTAGCCAAACCCCGAGCTCAGCTCCCAAAGGGGCTACAGCTGTAGGTCACAGCCCAGATAACCGACCCGGTTAGAGCTCGGGCTCCTTGAAGCAAGGGGGCTGATGTACACAGCACACCCAGGTAGGTGTGTTGGCATTAAACAGCTTCGAGAATAACAAACGCTGAATCCATTCAACTTAAGAAATTGACTATGTACATATATAAAAAAGTACAATAGAGCAAAAACAGAACAGCAAATACTGAATTACAATTATAGTATCTCAAAGAGTGTAACAAGTTGAAAAGTGTTTATTGTATTTAATTTCTTAAATTTTAATTTTAACTCGTTTTAATTGTGTGGAGATGGGTCTCGCTATGCTGTTCAGGCTCATCTCCAACTTCTGGCTTCAAGCAATCCTCTCGCTTGGGCCTGCCAAAGTGTTGAGGTTACAGGCATGAACTACCATGTCCAGCCTAAAAGAAAGTTTTGTTTGTTTGCTTGTTTTGAGTTGGAGTCTCACTCTAACCCAGGCTGGAGGGCACTACCACAGCCTCGACCTGCTGGACTCAGGGAATCCTTCCACCTCAGCCTTCCAAGTAGCTGGAACTACAGGCATGTGCTACCACGCCCTGCTAATTTTTTGATTTATTGTAGAGATGAGGTCTCGCCGAGTTGCCCAAGCAGGTCTCAAACTCACGGGCTCAGGCAATCCACTCACCTCAGCCTCCCAAAGCATGGGATTACAGGCTGAGCTACCAAGCCTGGCTCAGACAGATGATTTTAACAGTAACATGCTCATTGAGGGTTGTGAAGAATAAATGACATAATGTGCCGTGAAGTGCTGAGCACAATGCCTGGAAAGCACTCAGCAAAAACCCATTGGCTCCTCACTGCCCAAGGTCCGCCTTCGGAGTTTTCCTGAGCTGCTCTTTCTCCCTGAAGGGCCCACAGCAGCTGCAATCCTTCCAGTTAACTACTTAACTGCTCTCTCCACCTCTACAGGGTTTATAAGCTTCCTAAGCCCAAAGGGCAGTCTGCTTCCTGTTCATCACACCTTCCTCAAGCTCCCTCTCCCTGTGCTTATTTCTCATGCCTGGCTAATTTTTTTTGATTTATTGTAGAGAAGAGGTCTTGCCAAGTTGCCCAGGCTGGTCTTGAACCGGTGGGCTCAGGCAGTCCTCTCACCTCGGCCTCCCAAAGTGCTGGGATTATAGGCATGAGTCACTGCATCCGGCCTAAAGAAGGTTTTTTAAGATGACATAAACAGTAGGACTAGAAATCCAGTTTTTCATAAAGAAAATAGAGTAAAACTAAAAGAATTACTGAATAAATGACAAAGAATAAAGTATATATTTAATTCTTTCTTACACCTTCATTAGTCTTTTAAAAAGTTATCACTGTTTTGGTATTTTTTTTCTTTCTTTCTTTCTTTTTTTGAGTTGGAGTCTCAAGCTGTCGCCCAGACTGGAATGCAGTGGCCGCTCCCGGCCACCACAGCCTTGACATGCTGGGCTCCGGCGATCCTTCTGCTTCAGTCTTCCAAGTAGCTGGAACTACAGGTGCGCACTACCACACCCGGCTAATTTTTGGGTTTATTGTAGAGATGAGGTCTCATCAAGTAGCCCAGATGGGTCTTGAACCTGCCGGCTCAGACAATTCACTCACTTCAGCTTCCCAAGGCGTGGGATGACAGGCTGAGCCACCGAGCCCGGCTTGGTATTTTTCAATTTCAGCAAGTTTCAATGTGTACTAGAAGACTAGATTTCTAGGGATAGAGTCTACTAAAATGGATTATTTGGCCCAGGTTTTTCTGAGTACTTAAACTTGGGGTAATTTTTTTTAAAAATCAAGTTTCTACTCTTTTTAGTAAGAGCCTGAATTTGTTACAAAAGATACTTGACCATTAAGTCAAAATTTTGGATTCAGTTTATGATTGGAGAGTAACAAAAATCCCACATCTCCTTTTTCTTCTCCGTTTTTCTTATCTTCTTTCCTTAATACTTTTCCAGGCCAAGGATATGTTAACTTGACAGAGGGAGAAGTAAAGAGAGAGACAGATAGGACTAGACTTCATCCCCTTGTTAGAAGCACTCATGACTCCCTTCCCCTTTGTGAACTTAATTCATATTATTTGTGATTATTTGGTTAATATCTGTTTTCTCTAGAGGGGTAAACTAGACGGTAAGCTCCTCAAAGGCAGGAAACATGACTGCCTTACTTGTCACTATCCCTAATGCCTGATACACAGTAGCTACTCAGAATTTGTTGACTAATGCACATACATTCACTTACCATCTGTTCACTGATTTTGGTCCTAAGAGGAGAGCTTAGGTCTTACCTTTTTTTTTTTTTTGAGTTGGAGTCTCACTCCGTAACCCAGACTGGAGTGCAGTGGCACACTCGTAGCTACACCAGCGTCGACCTGATGGGCCTCAGGTGATCCTTCCACCTCAGTCTTCCAAGTAGCCAGAACTACAGGTGTGTGTACCACGCACGGCTAATTTTTTTTTATTTATTGTAGAGAGACGAGGTCTCACCAAATTGCTCAGACTGGTCTCGAATCCCTGGACTCAGGCAATTCTCTCGCCTCAGCCTCCCAAAGTGCTGGGAGTACAGGCTTGAGCCACTGTGCCCGGTCAGGCCTTATCTTTAAGAGAACTCCATGATAAAAACAACAGCCTTTCTATATAAGGCAGTTATATCCCTTCTTGACAGTATAAGTGTTTATCCAAAAAACCCAGAGTTATCTTTTGGAGGGCAGGCCCCTTGCAGTCCAGGCTTCCCCTGCTACGTGAGTGTTCTAGGAAGTCATCGGCATCCATGGACCAGATAGTGTTGCTGTGAAGGGCTGCGTTCAGCTTCAATTAATTTTGGGGGGAGATTCTTTCAACGCATTTGCCCATTTCATGATGTGTGATTTATGAGCACACCTGCCCACGAAGTACTGAGTGTTCAGCAGTTTTTGACCAAGACGGTATGACTCCTGTGCCCACCCTCCTATTCACCTGATGGAAAAAAGTCCTCAAAGGGAAACGAAAGATGACAGAAACATAAAAGGTATCGAAATGGATGAGTTCAAAAACTGTTTTGAGTAGTGGAAAAAGCACCTCGACAGGTATATGCCATCAAACAGAAAGTACTCTGAAGGTGACTGAAGTTTAAATGTGTAAGAATAAATACACAATTTTTATAAATACCTTCTGGGTTTTTTGGGTCCCCCCTCGTATATCCCCTCTTTACAAGGATGACCATGTATTCCTAAATATTCACACGCCCATCCTTCCTATGAGTACTTTATGAGGAAGTAAAACAACAACAAAGAAATTAACACCATTAAAAACAGGGAAATTGAACTGTCTCAGACTAAAGTTAAAGTATAAATAACTTTTAGTTTATTAAAATAAGGGACAACCTAAGCAATACAATATATAATTAAGATATGCAGCTTACCTTATATTTTTCATTTGCGAATAAAACTGAGGCTCTGTGAAATTTGCATAGAGGGTTCTTGGGATCAATCACGATGGCTTTGTTTAGGGTATCCAAAGCCTTCTCAGATTTCTTCAGGGCATGCTGAACCTATAGGAGAAAAAATCATGCTGATGCTTCCTCTTGGTGTTTGTAAATAAAGGTGAGAGCCAGTGGGGCTCAAAACCACAACCAGATGGCTGGATTGTTCAATGGGTTAAGGGGACTTAGTATTGATTAATGATTAATAAATTATCTTGAAAATCTCTTCCATTTCTAGTTCAACTGCTTCACTTTAAAGATGAAAATACTGAAGCCCAGGGATCTTAAATAATTTGCTCTGGGAAAAACCTAGGTTCTCTGGCTCCTAATCCACCATGATGTGTCCATAATAACCATCAAGATTCTATTTTTAGAGCAGATATTTGGTTACCTTTGTTCTAAGAGACAAGTAAAACCTTAGTTTTTCCTTCACAAGAAAAATTTATACTATTTAGACAGACAATACATTTTAACAGATTTTTAGTGAGCCCCCTACCTACAAACCCTCAAGTTGCGAACTTTAATGATGCACAAGGGCTTTTTAAATGTATTCTTTCTCTCCACCAGGTGGCAGTATAGCCTGTTAAATACATACAGTACTATACTGATTGTGTTAGTTGGATACCTAGGCTAACTTTGTTGAACTTAAAATGAATTGGACTTACAAACACTCAGAACAGAACTTGTTTGCTGGGAATTTCTTGTATTATGATCTTCCAAATATTAAACTTTGTAAAACTGTGTTCAATCAAAGAACACAGTTTACCGACCAAGTTTCACTCAGAACAATTATATTTTCACCTATTTTAGAAATATTTATTTATTTGAGTCAGAATCTCACTCCACTGCCCAGGCTGGAGTGCAGTGGCACGCTCATGGTCAACCCAGTGTCAACCCACTGGGTTCAGGTGATCCTTCCATCTCAGCTTTCCAAGTAGCTGGAACTACAGGCGCACGCGCCCACTCCTGGCTAATTTTTTGATTTATTGTAGAGACGAGGTCTTGCCAATTTGCCCAGGCTGGTCTCAAACCTACGGGTTCAGGCAATCCCCTCACTTCGGTCTCCCAAGGTGCTGAATTACAGGCTTGAGCCACCATGCCAGGCCTAAAAATTTATTTTAAAAATCACTTTCCTGCTTCATATAATTGAAAATCATTGCTCTCTAATACTGAGAAGTAAATAACTTAAGGTATTTTATATAACTTAAAATTTTAAAGATTAAAAAAGTACCAAGCGTTCCTATTCATTCAAGTATTCATATTTTGCTATGTTCTTCTTAGATGAATTATATATTAAAAAATCCAGTGGGGCAAATGGTTTGGCCATAGAACTTTAACAAATATCACTATCACAAGAATTTGAGAGCAGGTACTGCTAACATCAGGTTGCTAAACTCATCTATGCGATGATCTTTGCAGAAGGTTATTATCATATGTGGCCAAATATTCTATCCACAGGACTGAGACCCTAAATACTGGTTACCTAAGAGAAAAACATACTCTCTTGCCTTAAAACCTTTTCCAATAAACCATTCATAACTTTAAAATCTGTTCCACAATAGCTTTAGAAAAATGCCTACTTTTTTTTTGCATAGTAGCTAACTATAAAAAGTAACCAAGCCAACTTTTAAGAAAATTATCATGATCAATTTCAGTGGTTGATAAATAACTAGAATTCTTCCTCCCCCACAAAAATGACACTCCAGGTTGGGCTCAGTGGCTCAGCCTGTAACCTCAGCACTTTGGGAGGCAGAGGTGAGTGAACTGCCTGAGCCCGCAGATTTGAGACCCACCCGGGCAACTTGGCGAGACCTCGTCTCTACAATAAATAAAAGATCAGCTGGGTGTGGTAGCGCGCGCCTATGGCTCTGGCTACTTGGAAGGCTGAGGCGGAAGGATCGCTGGAGCCCAGCAGGTCGAGCTGAGGTAGCTGTGAGTGTGCCACTGCACTCCAGTCTGGGCGACAGAGTGAGACTCCAACTCAAAAAAAAAAGACATTCCAAACTAACATAATATGCCAGTTCTCACAAGAGCCTAAGAAAAAAAAGAAGAGACAGGGAAGGAGCAGAGGGAGAAGGAGGGAGGGAAGGTGAGAATAAAAACCTGAGGCACCATGCTTATAAAAAAACTAATAAATGAGATTTTAAAAAGCAAACAAACATACACATATATTTCTCTTATAAAGTACAACTTATTATCAGATATGCTAAAAATACAAAAATGATAATCCACATGGCCTTATAAAAATTTTAATTAGTTGTGATGTATCTGTGTCACTGAGAAGCTTAAGTACAGGAAGCCACTTGCCTTAAAATATTACTTATTTAATTTAGGGGCTAAATATTAACATACGAAAAAATGCTTTCAAAAATATAAAATATGTCATCTGAGTCACATCAATCCTATCAGCCACGCAAGGTGTCATTCATAGACCAGAAGTTCAAAGAAATTAAGTGACCTTCCCAAAAGATAAGAGCATGTCCATCATACTCCCTTACGCCAAGCCAAAAAGGTTGAAAAAGACTTCAGGATACTGTTTCAACAACAAGGGTAAAAGCCCCAATTTCCATCACAGCAATTAAGTCAACAGCAAGCATATCACAAGAGGGAGACTAATAGAGTAATAATATTTAGGAAGCTACTTACTACTCCAATGTGGCAAAGTAAAACTGAACTCTGAGGGTTGATATCAAGTGCTTTCTGGAAATGCATTTCCGCAAGGCTGAATTTTTCTTGCTTGTAATAAATCATTCCTAAACCATACCTGTATGTTATAAAAGTATAATTTTAGGGATATAAACTTTTGGTTGCTAGTAAAAGGGTAAGTATGAAATCTGGCATTTTACAATAAGTAGAAAAATGGTGATATTCTTAGAGAGAAGGAAAACAGCATCAGTCATGATAAAATCATTAAAACATTTTACAAGAGCCACTTTTATAAGTAAAAACAACAAATCAGATCAATCAAACGAAACTATGATAATGGGGAAATAAGAAATCACATCCTTGACTTCATGGCTTCAATCTAGATCTAATAGCTCATTTTTACCCAGTGGTTATTATGTGTGTAGCTAGAACTTTGCTAAATCATTTAATCCCAGAAGAATCAAGGCTACAGGTTTTCAAATCAGAAAACTGAAGCTTAGAGAAGTGAAATAACTCCCTTAGAGCTACTCAGCTAATAAGGATTCCGGCCAGGTCCTTCCTTTGTGACTCAGCCTGAGCTCCTAACATACAATCTCCATGTTCTTTGTCTAATGCATATATAACATATAGCACTAGGCTGGGCGTGGTGGCACAAACCTGTAATCCCAGCACTTTGGGAAGCCAGGTAAGAAGACTGCCTAAACCCAGGGGTTCAAGACTAGCCTGGGCAACTTGGCGACACCTCGTCTCTCCAACAAATAAAAAAATTAGCCAGATGTGGTAGCACGTGCCTGTAGTCCCAGCTACCTGGAAGGCTGGGGTGGAAGGATCACCTGAGCCCAGCAGGTTGAGGTTGAGGTGGCCATGAGCATGCCAACTGCACTCCAGCCTGGGCGACAAAGCGAGACTCCAATTCAAAAATAAAAAATAAAAAAAATACAGCACTAGAATGACAGCACACCATGCTCGACTTCCCTTCCCTCTGTCTACTATTCTCCAAGGGTGCTCCAATGCTTGCAGACCTCAGGATGGTAATCTGTAAAGGCTGTGTCACAGTGCATTAGGCTGCTATACAGGCATTCCTCTTGCATTTTCAAAATGTCAAGTGAACACAGTGTGGAGGGTTTACTTTACAGACCTCTCTTGGTCATCACTAGATATTGATGATAAATACCAAAAGAAGTAGGAAAACCACATCATATCTGCTTTATGTGAGTGACTTTATTTATCATTATAATAGTGTTACGGAGAAAGCCATAAAACATTGTGACAATGACAGTGAAGGAGGTAATAATAGAAAGGTTATTTACTTTGGAGTCAGAATAAGAAATCTGCTCAGTGTTTAGTTAGTTACCTAAACACCTCAGTATTTAAGTTCCTTCCAGTAAAATCTTGCCAGTCTGAACAATCCTCCTTTCAACACAATTTCTGATACTGTAATTTTTTAAAGACTGCAACTACTGCAAATCAGCAGACACTATGTATTTAAAAAGTGACATAGTGCCGGGCTCAGTGGCTCAGCCTGTAATCCCGCGCCTTTGGAAGGCTGACGTGAGTGGATTGCCTGAGCCCGCGGGTTCGAGACCCACCTGGGCAGCGAGACCTCATCTCTACAATAAATCAAAAAATCAGCCAGGCGTGGGAACGTGCGCCTGTAGTTCCAGCTACTTGGAAGGCCGAGGTGGAAGGATCACTGGAGCCCAGCAGGTCGAGGCTGCGGTGGCCGGGAGTAGCTACTGCACTCCAGTCTGGGCGACAGAGTGAGACTCCAACTCAAAAAAAAAAAAAAGTGACATAAGCCCTATTAAGAACCAAGTTCTTTTTTTGTTTTTTAGATTTGAAAGAAAATTAGAGAGAGAAAGAGGTGATTCACCTCTCCAAAGTAGGGAAGGGGGCCAAAGCTTAAGAAAATATGGCCTGGCCATAGCTTAGCAAGGCAATGGCCAAGAACGGAGTTCTTAAACTTACATCTACCTGGAGAGAAGGCAGTGTTGGCAAGCTTGACTGTTTCATGTCCACAAAAGCTAGCATTTCTTTATTGTTAATATATTTTTTAGCTTTTTTCTTTTTCTTTCAATCACTTTAGGGGGTACAGATTGTTGTTGGTTATACGGCCGCACTGTATAACAGCAAAGAAGTCTGGGCTGTAAGTGTGCTCCCCCCCCCACCTGCACACACAGTACTCAGAGGAGACTTTTCAGCCGCCCAACCTCCTCCCCTAACCCGGAGTCTCCAAAACCCATTATAGCATCCTTTATGCAAAAGCTAGCTTTTTTTTTTTTTTTTGGCCATCTTTCAGGCAATGTAACTACTACTTAGAAATGAGATACAGTCTCATTAAAAATCATATACATACAAATAAAAAAATGTATTAGTAATTTAATGCTTCAGATTTAGTGACAATAGAATGATAAAACTCAACTATCATAATTAAAACAAGAGATACTATGCAAAAAAGCTAGATTTCAGAATTATATTTCTTCTTGAGATTTAAACTATTAAGTCATTCCAGAAAAGTACGATAAATGTCAGCAGTCAATATGATGTTGAGGCAGAAACAGGAACAGACTTTTCCGTATCTTATTCGTTCGATAACAACATGAGCCAGGTAGTAGCTTCCTGTCTACTTATGCACAAGTACAAAAAAGGTGAGTACCACTTAATGCAGTAGAACAGAGTTCTCTCTTTTGTTTTGTTGAGTCAGAGTCTCACTCTGTCGCCCAGGCTGGAGTGCCAGTGGCACACTCAAGGCCACCACAGCCTTGACCTGCTGGGCTCAGGCGATCCTTTTACCTCAGCCTTCCAAGTAGCTGGAACCACAGGAATGCGCCACCATGAACGGCTAATTTTTTTATTTATTGTAGAGATGAGATCTCACAATGTTGCCCTGTTGCCCTATTGGGCTCAGGCAATCCTCTTGCCTCCACCTCCCAAAATGCTGGGATTACAAGTGTGAGCCACTGTGCCTGGCTGGAACAGAGTTCTTAATAATAAACTGGAATGCTGTCAAAGAGCAACAATTAGTAGATTCTCTGATGTTTATTTTCTATTATCCATTAAGTGAATTATACTATTCCTCTCTACTTTCTCAGCCACTTTTTATCCTAATCCCACTTCAGTGTAATAAGAAAAAGTAAATCAGGTGACAAAACCAACTACAGCATTTGCAAAAGTCTGGTAGAAGACAAGGCTGGGACTGTTGAGTATTCCATTATCATTAGTTAATTTAAGAGTTTGTTAAAGGCTGCATTTCACATGAAAACATTTTGTTTTGAAGTTTTGACCAATAAGTACCATCTTAAGTATCAGTAACCAAATCCATGACAACAAAGAGGTATCTAACAAGGAAAACGACTGAGCGCCAGTGCCAGCATGAGTCTGTGGCTTTGTGAGTACTTACCATGCATTATAATGTCTAGGATTGACTCTGATGGCATTTCGAAAACAAGCTAATGCTTTGTCCAGTTCTTCAGTTAACACAAACTCATGCCCTAATAGAGTATAAGCATAAGCATAATTTGGATCAACCTGGATAGCTCTCTGGAAGAATTTAATTGCAATATCATGTTCCCGTTGTAGACTGAAACAGTTCCCTGCAGCACACCAGGCCTTAAAAAATGAAAAGAAAAAAAAATACACAATTAAAGTTTTCTTTTTTCTACCTAAACCAAATCTCTGACTAAAATCAAGCCTCAGACTCCACTTAGAACAGACAAAGACAGAAGAGCTTTAGTGGACCAACAGTTGTTTGATTGGTCATGGCTTCCATGGCTGTAGATATGCCTGCTTGCTGTACACATTTGTGAAACCAAAACTGACACGAGCAGCACTTACATGTCCTGGGCAGCTCAACCTCTGAGTTGCTCCAAGGCGTGTTCTCATCTCAGGGCCAGCGAGGAGACCCTGCCTGCCTGTGTCAGCTCCATGACAGCAATGATAGATGACAGACTGCAGGCGCAGCCCAGTGCAGTGCAAGAAGCTCACTCTGCATCAGTTGGACAGAGCTTCAAGTCCACTGCTGGCCCCTTTTAGTAGGGTGGCTGTAGGCAAGTCGCCTCAACACTCTGAATCTCATTTTCTCATTTGTAAAATAGAACAGTCCAACAGCATGTACTGTTCCCAAGCTTCATGATTATGATCTATCATTTCTTTTCCTCTCTTACATTTCCCCTAGAAGCAATGGTTTGGTATCACTAAACCAGTGTTCATGGTGACTATGGAATATCATGAGGGGAACTGACTATATTTGATTCTGAGCTTAGACGTATTACAGACATGTAACTGAGTCTTTTTGTGACATGCTGGGATACAATCCTTAGAAGACTGGAACACGAAAATTAATTGTGCCTATGTCTCAAAATGACAGTACTAACTTATTTCCATTTCAAATTTGTCATTTTTTCAATCCATATAAACTCTGCTCAATGAACTCTAATCTTTGTGACAACAGCAACTTTAATGCAGTCAAATCTGGAACAATCCTGGATTAACTGTCTGCCTTGTGACTTTTCTAGGACTTTCTCTTCTTCTCTGAGCCCTGCCTAGAGAGAAAGATACCAAATAGTGCTTGAACATCTAGGTTATCTCCATCTTTTAAGGTGAGCACAAGGCAACTATGTAAGCAGACGACTTTGGCTAACACACCTCTGGTGAATTCTTATCCATGTCTGTTAAGTCTTTTGACAGAACTGAAAGAGCAACGTCTTTTTGAAGATGCCAAAGCGTGGTAGAGTAGATCTCCATGCCTTCCACTCTGTAATTCTCAATCCTTCTAACCTCTGAGAATATTCTTTCAGCCTGAAAAAACAAACAAACAAAACCTACTAAGAGAAAACAGTTGACACAACTTATATATATAGGGAAATCACCGGTTGCTGTCTCCACAGGACCTAAATGCTATTTTGTACTATGGCTTTTAGGTGGATGAGTAAGGATACACTGAACATTCTCCTGCGGCAGGTCAAATATTGATGCAATCACAGTCACATCTAACCCTGTCTTTATAAGCAAGTCAAAGTCAGAACAAGAACTCTAAAAAGAGAACTTAAGTTTTTACCAAAAGATAGATGATAAATCTACACAAAGTTACAATGTAAAAGACAAGTCAATATTTTCTTACAAAATGCATTTCTGAGTTCTAATAACGGCTTTACAGAATAATGCTCCCAGGACAGATGACAGGAGATAACTTCTGTGATATAAAAGCTATTTTTCACTGACTTTGAGAGCTTGTGTTAAAAACTTGAGGGAAGAAGCAGGTTATAAGATGGCTACCAGGCCATGGCACAGGGACCCTGGGCACACCCTCCCAAAAGCACCTGCCAGGAGCCCCATCCTCAGCTGCCAGCAGCCCTTTCCTTGCAGCACTCCCAACTCAGGGTCACTCCTCAGCTAGCTGGTGTCATCACACGCACCGCTGCCAGTGCTCCTCTCTACCCCTAAAGCGCGAGGCTTCAGGTTACATAAAACAAACCAGTTTCCTAGTTGATCGACTTAGTAAGTTCAGAATTCTCAAGATGCAGTTTAAAGAATATCTCGACTGCTCTTAATGAAATAAAGGTGTCAGAATATATAAGGAAAGAACATTTATAGAACAAGGCACTTAAGTCAAAGAGATGGCCATATGTACCTAGCATGAGGATTTGCAATTTCCTTGAAATCTCTTAAAAGTTGTTAAGATAAGTTTTTCAAATAGGCATGGCTATGAGATGACAGCCCTAACCAAACACAGGTAACTTTGGTTTCAAATTTTTCAGAATTTATTGTCTTCTTTGAAAAATGATTATGGCATAGACAAAAAGAAAAACGGGGGGGAAAACTCAGGAAATTAAGGTGAAACAAAGACTTTCTTGAGTTAAATACTTGAGTCACCACCTACAACTAGGGGAAACAACAAAACGTATGTATGTTACAGGACCTGCAAAACAATAAACTAGAAATAACTTTTAGAAAGGCTTTCCAAACATAGCTCTTGCCTGAGTAAACACTGTGTACCAATATGGGGTCACAAGCTAAACATGGGGCTTTTAGCGGTAAGTAAGAATTTCTGTCCACAGCGTTCTCTTCAAAATTACCTGGAGAGGAATCCTACACATTCAGTCTCTGCCTCGATGAACACTTACCCTAGATGTAACAGCAGCACCATCCTTCATTGTCCCCAGCTCCCTGCCCAACTTTCATCCTCTTCATGTGACTTACTGCTACCTGTCCTTGCACACTTACACACAATCTGTCTCTTACCAGGCACAAGCTCCTCGGAGACAAATGGTCTGACTAGCCCTATGGCAGAGTCTGGAAAAGCGGTGAGGACATAGGCTGCACTGAAATATACACTCAATAAGGGAACTGGAAGTACATTAAGCAAGGGTAGCCTCATACCAACTTTAACCCACATCAGAGATATTTTATTAATATACAGACTTCTTACAGATTTTTATATTTTAAGTTTAGGGGTGGGACAAAATGCTTTGGGAAGGATTGCTGAGAGGTAATTTAAGTTGGAAGTCATAATTTTCTTTGGCTTCAGGTTAATCACCCTCTCCTTTTCTGTTAGAAACAATAATTTAGCAACAAACTTAATTAAAATTAAAATAAAAGTCTTATAATAAGAATATTGTGTCCTTGATTAAATACAATTTTCTTCACAGCATTCTTTAGGTTTACAGAACATATTAAAGTCAAAAATTCATCCCACTAAGTAACTGCATAGTGTAGAAAAAATTCACATTCTAAGAATCTATTACACGGTAAACACGTATTTTCAGATCCAATTCGGTAGGTTACAGTCCACGCAGGAATGTATTGACGACATGGTTCTCTGTAAGTCTATCTCAAGAAATTCCTAAAAATATAAACTGCCCTTTACACAAGAAAGAACTGGATCTACAAATTATAAATACTGAGAAAGTCAATATTTAGACATTACATAACAAATGCTCATTTTTTAGACCTAGCCTTCTCAAGCATGGGCATTCATTTTACTTCAAGCTCTATGATCTCTAGAGAGGCAGAGGTAACCATTTTCTATACTTACTTGCATGTACTCTGAAAGTTCAAAATAGGCCCTTCCGATTTGGCACAGTACCCAGCCAGTATTGTAGTGGTGAGAAGGCAGGTGGCTCAAAATGCTTATAGCTTCTTTGCAGTTGTACGAACACAAAGCTAAATAACCTTTCCCCATTTCACGAAGAAGGCTCATCAAACCTTCTAGGAGAAAACAATACAGTAGACAAAGAAAAAAACACAATCAAACAGTTTGGTTTTCTAGGAAGGCTAAGTGCAAACTAATCCATTACACATTCCAACGTCTATAAAGAAGACAACGAAAGCACTGCAATGAACACAAACAAACTTACTTACAACGAGTACACAATAAAAATAAAAAGCAAGGAAGACATCAAGCGTTTAAAACAGACCTGCAGCTGCTTTCTGCAGATTAAACGCCTGGATCTGAGGGGTGATCGTGGGTATTTTCCCTTCTGAAATGACGGAAGAGTCCAATTTTGTAATTTCCAGGCTGTCATTTATGTTAGGTTGAGTTATTCCTCCTTTATTAGTTTTGCTTTTTGTTTTTCTGTTTGGGATTTTAGGTGGAAACTTCATTTTTAATTTTTTGCTATTTTCCTGTAAAGGGGGGGGGAGTGCCACACTTGTTATACTCATGTGTTTTAGACTTCCCACAACCCTTTCTCAAGTATTAGATATGAAATAAATGTACAGTATTGATTATATCTATATTTTCCAGAAGAAATTTTATAAAAATAAAAAGTCTTCAAAGCCATTGAACTTTAAATATAATAATTCTGAACATAAACTACATTAAGAGTAAGGTAGCCGGGTTCGGTGGCTCAGCCTGTAATCCCGCGCCTTTGGGAGGCTGAGGTGAGTGGATTGCCTGAGCCCGCGGGTTCGAGACCCGCCTGGGCAGCGAGACCTCATCTCTACAATAAATCAAAAAATCATCCGGGCGTGGTAGCGCATGCCTGTAATTCCGGCTACTTGGAAGGCTGAGGCGGAAGGATCGCCGGAGCCTGGCAGGTCGAGGCTACGGTGGCCGGGAGCGGCCGCTGCACTCCAGTCTGGGCGACAGAGTGAGACTCCAACTCAAAAAAAAAAAAAAAAAAAAAAAAGAGTAAGGTATGACAGCATAAAGCATTGCTCTCTTCTGCAAGTATAGCATCCTCACTTATTTAAAAATAAGAAAATAAATAGAAATAATACTATCTAACTGCCTCAGAGTCATACAATTGTTAATATGGATATGTCAAAGGTAAAGATTGTTCATAATATTTGTCAATGGACCAAGAAAATTTACCAAAGGCATAATGAGGCCCTCTAATATTAAAAACCTTTATTTTAGATAGGGTATCAATCACACTTTCACCCAGGCTGGAGTGGAATACAGTGGCATGATCATAGCTTACTGCAGTTTTGAACTCCTGAGCCCAAGTGATCTTCCTGCCTCAGTCTCCCGAGTAGCTAAGATTATAGGCACTTGCCACCATGCCTGGATAACTTTTTAATTTAATTTTTTGTAGAGCTGAGGTCTCACTGTATTGCTCAGGCTGTCTTGAACTCCTGGCCTCAAGCAATCCTCCTGCCTAGGCCTCCCAAAGTATTGGGATTACAGGTGTGAGCCATGGCGCCCAGCCCCTAACTTTTTATTCTGAAATAATTTTAGGCTCAAATGAAGTTGCGTAAAAAATACAGAGAATTTCCATTCATTCTTCCCTCAGTGACAACATCTGACATAACCACAGTACAGCATCACACCCAATAAACTACAATTGTACAATGCTATAAACTGAACTACAGACCTTACTTGGAGTCCATCAGTTTTTATATGAACGCTTATGTACATGTATATATACAGTTCTATGAAATCTTATTACACGAAGGAATTCATGTAATTAACCGCCATAAAGAAATTGTTCGGTGCTATGCCTTGTCATCTTCTCCCCCGAGTCCTAGCTCCTGATAACCACTGATCTGTTTGTTATACACTGTTATAATGCTATAATTTAAAGAATATTAGAGAATATTTTTCAAAGAGTCAAGAAAATTCACAAAAATGTATAGATAGCTCTCAAAATTAAAATAATTTTAAAAACCCTAAATGTTTCTTTACTTATTAGAGACAGAGTCATCAGTGAACACTAGGGAGAAGTATGAAGTAAACGTGACACGCAGAAGTCGTGAGGTTACCTTGGCTGTAGAACTGTCACTAGTAAAAAGCCGTGAACTTCTTCGAGGCAGTGCATTTGGGGGAGACGTGATAGTGGGGCTCAATACCTGAGGTGTAGTACTAGAAAATTACAAAGGAAGACATGCATTTTTCACTCAGTTTATGACCATTAGCCACTGCTTCAATTCAGGCACATTAAAAAATATGCATTAGCTAGTAAGTACTCTAACATGGATAGCTTGGCCCATCCTTCTCTGGCCCCTCTATGCAACCCCAGGAGAGCACAGATCTCCATGCTCCTGAAATTGCTCTTTTGAACTAAAAGCAGCCACCTACAATCTGGGTCAACATATGGCAAGTACAACCACAGACCGAGTGTTTCCACCTTCCTTTGCATGTGAAGGATAAGGGCAGCATGGGCAGTCCCCGGGTGGGGTGTCCGTCAACAAACAAAGCAGCAGAACAGGTGACAGCAGAGAAGTTATTTCCCTGTAGTAAATTCAAAGAGCTATATCAAAAGCCTATCCTGTTTAGGACAAAAGGAGTGTGATAACCACTCGGACATAATTTTATTTTAAAGACAAACAATAAGATAGGAGAATCCCAATCTTAGAAAGCAAGAAAAATGAAGACCCGAGAGATCTAATTGAAAGTTAGTTTATGGACTAAACTGTTTATATAGTTTACAATAATTTATAGGAAGTTCTTCTAATTACCTGAGTTTAATTTTTTTTTTTGAGATGGAGTCTCGCTCTGTCACATAGGAATGAGCGCAGTGGCATGATCATAGCTCATCACAGCCTTGCACTCCTGGGCTCAAGTGATCCTCCTGCCTCAATCTCCTGAGTAGCTATGACTACAGCCACCTACCACCACGCCTGGCTAATATTTTTTATAATTTTTTTGTAGAGATGGGGTCTTGCTATATTGCCCAGGTTGGTCTCGAACTCTTGGCCTCCAGTGATCCTCCTGCCTTGGTCTCCCCAAGAGCTGGGATTACAGCTATGAATCATCATGCCTGGCGTCAAAGAAACTTGAAAATAAAAGAGTTGCTGACCAGTGAGCAAATAATGTTTAGGGATATCTGTAATCTTTTCAAAAGACAAAGCGCCAATGTAGGAATTTTAGCAAGCAAAGTTGTTTGGGTTGGCCAATTCATTTTTAGAAGTATAATAAACTTTACTTCATAGAAACAACTATGTGTCATTTATACTGCTAGTTACGAATCTGGGTCAAAGAAGCTTCTGAAAAGAAGAGAGATATGTATTTTCATGTTCTTTGCAATATACACACATATAATAGGCATTTATACTCATATATGTATATACACACACACATAAATCCTTTTAATTTGCATCTGTTTAGCTAGAAGTTTGACAATGAAATGAGTATGCTCTGGAATCAGAATGTCAAGGTTTGAAGTTAAGCTTTACTGCTTACCAGCTAGATGATGACATGCCAGTTACATTAACACTTTTTAAAAAGCCTGTGTCAACAGAATTATTTTGTGGCTTTGAAATAAAATATAAAGTGTTCTGGTAGTTATCAATAAATACTTTGGAAAATGTACAGAAATGACTTTTGGAGGATAATTTATGTGGAGAAAGTGACAAAAACATTCCTGGAGAACTGAGCTGAGAGTAAGACATCCTTCTAAACATTTCTATACAGAAAGGACAGACTGCTGCTGTCAGTCGCAATGGAGTAGAACGAACTTGCTCCCCCACGTCAAATACCTAGAACCCAAACAGAGTCTTCAGACACTGGGTAACGTAACACGCCTGAGGAGTACTTGTGGCCACTGTGCAGGGAAAGGAAGATGCAAACAGCCCAGTGACCTCCCTGTGCCAACAGGAAATGCTGAGAAGATGAGAAAGCCAAAGCAACCAGACTGGCAGGGCAGAGCCCCAGAGAGAAGAGGGCCACAAAGAAGGATGTGACGGGGGTTTACCTGTAGTCTTCAGTCGAACACTGGTTGGTGTAGGTGTTGAACGTTACCTACTAAGAAATTTGCCTGGCCTCTGTCCCGAGTCCCCCAAGTGATGGGCGTGTCTTGTTATTTGTGGACAGCCCCAAGGACAGTCTGAGTTTATGATAATGAAGTGACTCATGGTGGGCCCCTAGATAGTTTCAGGGTGGGGCTGGCTGTGCTGGAAAGGTCAACCACGTGATTAGGAGATTGGGGCTTTGAGTCAAGGACATCAGCCTGACCTCCTCCAGGAAGGAGAGGGTGGTTAGAAACAGTCATGTGGTCAATGGCTCCATCAACCATGCCTACCTAATTTAAAACCCAAGGGAAGACTCTGAACACCAAAGCGTGGTTGAAATTCCTGGTCTGTAAACACACTGATGCCCCAGGAGGGCAAGGTATCCTAACCCACTACAAGGTCCCAAAAGCTCTGAGTCTAGGACCTTCCTGACCTCACCCGTGGGTCTCTTCATCTGTCTGTTCCTGACGTGTATTCTTTTTTTTTTTTTGAGTTGGAGTCTCATTCTGTTGTCCAGGCTAGAATGCAGTGGCACGCTCACAGCCACCCCAGCGTCGACCTGCTGGGCTCAGGCAATCCTTCCGCCTCAGCATTCCAAGTAGCTAAAACTATAGGCATGCGCTACCATGCCTGGATAATTTTTTGATTTATTGTAGAGATGAGGTCTCGCGAAGTTGCCTTAGGCTGGTCTAGAACCCAGGCAATCCTCTCACCTCGGGCCCAGACAATCCTCTCACCTCGGCCTCCCAAAGTGCTGGGATTCTAGGCTTGAGCCACCACACCTGGCCAGACTTGTATCCTTTATAATAAAACTATAATCCTAAGTGTAGCATTCTCCTGGATTCTGCGAACTGTTTTAGCAAATTACTGAACATGGGAGGGGGGGATAGTGGGGACCCTCAAATATGTAGCCAGCTGATCAGAAGAAATGCAAGTGGGCCTGGGGAACCCCGCACCTGCAACCAGTGAACAAGTGTTCAAACTGGGGACTGTGACCTTAACCTGTAGAGTCTGTGCTAAGTCTTGGAAGTTGGCATGAGAATCACATTAGAGTATTGCTGCAAGACCTCATCTCTTAAAAACAAACAAGCAGGCCAGGTTTGGTGGCTCAGCTTGCAATCCCAGTAATCTGAGAGGCTGAGGCAAATGAATTGCCTGAGCCCACAGGTTCAAGACCAGACCAGGCAACTTGGCAAGACCTCATCTCTACAATAAATAAATAAAGAAATGAGCTGGGCATGGTAGCACATGCCTGTAATTCCAGCTACTTGGAAGGTTGAGGCGGAAGGATCACGGGAGCTCAGCAGGTCAACACCAGGGTGGCCGGAGCATGCCACTGAACTCCAGTCTGGGTGATGGAGTGAGACTCCAACACAAAAAAACAAAACAAAAAAAACCCCAAAAAGCTGGGCATGGTGACACGTGTCTATAGTTCTAAATACTCAGGAGGCTGAAGCAGGAGGACTGCCTGAGCCCAGGAGGTCGAGGCTGCAGTGAACCATGATCATGCCACTACTCTCCAGCGTGGACGATAGAGTGAGACACCGACTCAAAACAAACACACACTACTAGGCATACAAAGAAGAAGGGAAAAAATGACCTACAGTGAAGAAAAAAATCAATAAGAAACAGTCCTGGAAATGACAAAGCAGCAGATTTAGTAGGCAAGAACATGAAGCACATTCTATATGTTCAAAAGGGAAGAATCGTGGGCATGTTGAAGAGAAAACGAAATGAAATTTCTAGAGATGAGGCTGGGCACGGTGGCTCACACCTATAATACCAGCACTTTGGGTGGCTGAGGTGAGAGTTGCCTGAGCCCATGGGTTCGAGACCAGCCTGGGCAACTTGGTGAGACAGCATCTCTACAATAAATCAAAAAATTTGCCGCGTGTGGCAGCTCACACCTGTAGTTCCAGTTACTTGGAAGACTGAGGCAGAAGGATCACCTGAGACCAGCAGGTCAAGGCTGTGGTGGCCATGAGATGAAAGAATGTCTGAGATTAAACAAAAATGGGATGCGATTCATAGCAGACATGATACTACAAAGAAAAATAAGTGAACTTGAAGATATGCAATACATCCTATGCAGAATGAAACAAGGAGAAGTCTAGACCCAACACCAGAAGAGAATTAGTGAGCTGCCGGGCAACTTCCAGCAACCCAGTATACATGCATTCTGAGGCTCAGAGGGAGAGACAAAGGCATAGACAAAAAACGTATTTGAAGAAATAGCACGCCAAAGTTAGCCAAATAAGATGAAAACCATAAGCCTACAGATTCAAGAAATTCAATGAATTGGAAGGCCAAGAAACAAGAAGAAAACTACAGTAGAGCAGTGAACCTAATAAAATTGTTTCAAACCAGCAATAAAGAGAAAATCTTAAGTCAGAAAAAAGATATTGCATATAAGGGAATAAAAATGAGAATGCCAGCAGCTTTCTTGTCAGTAATACAAGCAAAAACAAAAAAACAAAAAACAAAAAAAACAGCAAAGCAACATCTTTTTTTTTTAGTGGGAGTCTCACTCTGCTGCCCAGGCTAGAGTGCAGTGGCATGTTCAGGCGATTCTTCTGCCTCAGCCTTCTAAGTAGCTGGAACCACAGGCATCTGCCACCATGCTCGGCTAATTTTTTGATTTATTGTAGCGATGAGGTCGCGCCAAGTTGGTCTTGCATCTCTGGACTCAGACAATCCTCTCACCTCTACCTCCCAAAGTGCTGGGATTATAGGTGTGAGCCACTGCGCCTGGTCTAAAGCAACATCTTAAAAAGAAAACCTGTCAATTAGAAATTCTATACCTGGCTGGGTGCTGTGGCTCATGCCTGTAATCCCAGCACATTGGGAAGCCGAGGTGGGAGAACCGCTGGAGCCCAGGAGTTCAAGATCAGCCCGGGCAACATAGTGAGACCTTCTCCACAAAAAAATAAAAAATAAAATTAGTTGTGCATGGTGGCACACCCCTGTAATCCCAGCTACTAGGGAGGCTGAGGCAGTAGGATCATCTGAGTCCAGAAGGTCGAGGATGTGGGGAACTGGGATTGCTCCACTGTACTCCAGCCTGAGTGACAGAGACCCTGCCTCCAAAAAGACAAAATTCTATATCTAAGTAAAAGTATCATTCAAAAGTAAGGATGAAATAAAAACTTTTTTTTCCTGATATAGAAAAGCTGAAAAAATTCATTGCCAGCAGACCCGGACTATAAAAGACGTTCAAAAGAAATTCTTCAAGATGAAGGAAAATGGCACAGTGGCTCACACCTGTAATCCCAGCACACTGGGAGGCAGAGGCAGGAAAATCGCTTGAGGCCAGGAGTTTGAAACCACCTGAGCAACAACATGAGATCCCGTCTCTACAAAAAACAGAAATGAGGCAGGTATGGTAGTGTGCAGCTGTAATCCCAGCTACATGAAAGGCTGAGGCAGAAGGATTGCTTTAGCCTACGAGTTCAAGGCTGTGGTGAGCCATGATTGTGCCACTGCACTCAAGCCTCATTATTAGAGACCCCAACTCAAAAAAAAAAAAAAAAAAAAGAAGGAAAATATTATCAGATTGACATCCAGATCTATTGAGGAAGGAGCACATAAATAGTACCTGTGTGGGTATGTACAAAATAGACTTTGTTTTCTCTTTTAAAATAATCTCTATAAAAGGTAACTGCTGCTGGGTGCAGTGGGTCACCCCTGTTACCCCAGTACTTTGGAAGGTAGAGGCAAGAGAATTACCTGAGCTCAGGGGTTCGAGACCAGCCTGAGCAACATGGCGAGACCTTGTCTCTACAATAAATAAAAAAATCAGCTGGGAATGGTGGCACATGCTTGTGGTTCCAGCTACTTGGAAGGCTGAGGCAGAAGGATCACCTGAGACCAGTAGGCCGAGGCTGTGGTGGCCACGAGTGGTCCACTGCACTCCAGCCTGGGCAACAGAGTGACACTCCGACTCAAAAAAAAAAAAAAAGACAACTGTTTAAGGCAGCAACAACCATGCACTGTGGGGTTTATAACATACACAGGAGTAAAATATATTATAACACTCCCATAAAGACTAACATAAAGAGGAACATGAAAGTATACAGTTTCACAATACACAGGAGAGGAGCACCACTTGAAGGTACACTTTGACAGATTAACATGTGTACTACAAACCTTAGAGCAAACTCTCCAAAGTTAATTAGAGAGTAGTTGCTCTCAACCTATAATCCCAGTACTTTGGGAGGCCAAGGCAAAGGGACTGCCTGAGCCTGCAGATTCAAGACCAGCTCAGGCAAGTTGGCAAGACCTTATCTCTACAATAAATCAAAAACTTAGCTGGGCATGGTGCCTGTAGTTCCGGCTACTTGGAAGGCTGAGGCGGAAGGATTGCCAGAGCCCATCAGGTCGACGGTGGGATGGCCATGAGCGTGCCACTGTACTCTAGCCTGGGCGATAGAGTGAGACTCCAACCACCTCCCCCACCAAAAAAAAAAGTAGTTTCAAAAAAAGGGGCAGTGTTGAAGGGTGCCTCCCAAAAAGATACACCAAAGCCCTAATCCCCATACCTGTGAAAGTGACTTTATTTGGAAACAGGGTCTTTGCAGAGGTAATCACACTAAGCTGAGGTCATGAGGGTTGGCCCTAATCCAGCGTGATTGGTGTCTGTAGAAGAAGAGGGAAACTTAACTACAGAACCCACAGGGAGGATGGCCATGTGAAGAGTTATGCTGCCACAAGCTAAGGACCACATGGGACTATCAGAAGCTGGAATTGGCAAAAAAGAATCCTCCCGAGAGACTCTGGAAGGAGCATGACCATGCCGACACCTTGATTTTAGACTTTTAAACTTGATTACAGATTTTTAAACTGTGAAGAATAAATTTCTGTTGTTTTAAGCCACCCAGTTGTGGTACTTTGTTATGGCAGCCTGAGAAAACTAACACAGGCAGTAAAAGAGAGAAAATGGATACAACGATACAACGCAAAAGATTAAGAGCTGATGCTTCCTACTGTGAGTAGATGCTGGCTAAGCTCCAAGGGAAATGAACAACTGAGAAGTCACACTGACGCCCTCTCCGGGATGATACACACTCGGCCTGCGGAAGGCTGCTCTATTGGAACACGCTGTCTGCAAGCTGGCATGTGTGACAGTCCCAGCATCCTCCAGCATGGAATCTCAGGGGCCTTGCAGATAGTCACGGTCTGCACATGTCTGTATCTTTTAAAATTTACAGGCACGTTTGCTGTTTTAGAGAGGAGAGAGACAATTCTTTCTTTTCAAACATTAGCTATAATTTATTGAGTCCTTGAATAGGGAGAGAAATCCTATTTAACACCATACCTGTGTGTAAGCAGATTCATCATCTGAAGACTTATTGGAAGGTTAATTTTTAAACTGTTTATAGACGTGCATAACAGAAAAAGTGGAGTATGAAATCTGTCTGTACTTGACCTAAGAGAAGGTCATGTGCATAAAAGAAAAATTATACATCTATGAGGCAAAGTAAACCAAAAGCTACTTTAGCTAATGACTATTGTTATTACACAAGTGTTTTCAGCCAGAAGTTTCAAATTTACATATTTAAAATGTATAATACTTATTCTAGAATTCACAAGTCAATATTGGTCTAAATTGAAGAAATATGAAGAATCCAATGTTATGGCAAGAAAAGCTGAACAATAACCATTATAAATACCTTGTTTGTGGGCCAGAAGTCTGTGTTTGTGCAAGAACTGGAGTTACCTCTCGACTATTTCCGCTCTGCGAGAAGACAGACTTTGCTCCAGTTTGGCCGATTCTGGCAACAGACTGTAAAACACAAAAAGCCTAAGGTTTGTGAATTACCAAACTACACCGTTAATGATAAAGATAGCATGATGCACTTATCTACATTTTCCCAATAAAAGGGTCCATAATGTACACTGTCACCTTAAAACATAAACTGCTAGTATCATGATTTATGCCATGATGGCTAATATTGCTATATTATGAACATCAGCCTATTTCCCCATTTTAACTGCAGTCTTTTTGCCTTAACACTATCTTTTCCTCTTTCACGTTCATGTCTAAGGGAAGACTGAACATTCTCAGAAGCTGTTCTATTGCACGGTGATTATTCTCCATTTATTACACACCTTCTCTATCTGCGACCAAGGACTAAGGAATTTTAAGAGACCTACTGTTCTCAAGATTTATGATTTAAGTTACCATATGGAGAAAAATAATAATAGAGTAAGATAATATGCTCCTGTGACACTTGTAAAACGGTTCTACAGGAGCTAAGAAGAGTAGATTTTTAAAAAACACACCCAATGACTCAGTAAATTCCAAGGATGTTGCTTTTGAGAGTTAACAATTCTTTACAGTCTTTGCAATCTTTCATTCATTGGTCTTTGCTCCCTGGAAGAAAACCAAAGTTTGCTTGGCTCTTCTATCTTCTCTGGTCTACCACCTTCTCTCTCTTCATTTTATTTATTTTTTGAGTTGGAGTCTCACTCTGTCGCCCAGACTGGAGTGCAGTGGCCGCTCCCGGCCACCGCAGCCTCAACCTGCTGGGCTCCGGCGATCCTTCCGCCTCAGCCTTCCAAGTAGCTGGAATTACAAGCATGCGCTACCACACCCGGCTGATTTTTTTTGATTTATTGTAGAGATGAGGTCTACGGTCTCGCTGCCCAGGCGGGTCTCGAACCCGCGGGCTCAGGCAATCCACTCACCTCAGCCTCCCAAAAGCGCAGGATTACAGGCTGAGCCACTGAGCCTGGCTTCTCCTCATTTTCACCACCTCACTTTTTAACTATGATCGAGGACCATTGCATCAGGGATGTTTTTTTTTGGGAGGGAGTGAGGGGACCAGAAAATTTTCTTCAAACCTTACTTTTACCTGATACCCTGTCATAACCCTCATGCTACACATGACAAATAATCACATTCCTCACTAGATATGAAAACCTTATCTTGGCCCTTCCTGCATTCAAATTCCCTCTCTTTTGAAGCTTTGTATTACTTCCAAAACATCCACTATCTTGGTTATCTGTCCTTCCATGGTGTCTAAATCAGGTGTGCTCTGTGCTTTTGAGCTCCTCTCTCTCTCTCTCCCCCTAGAGAATAGGGTCACCTTAACAGCTCCAATTATGACTTCTACCAGCAGGCCACATCTCTTCCTCTATGACTAACTGCCCACTAAATATTTCCACTCATCCACCACCACCTCAAAATAAAACTTCCTAACTCTTTCTCTTCCTTCCCCAAATTGAAATCTCTACCTTCACCCAAGTGACAAAACTTAATCATGGCCCTTCCTTCTTCATCAAATGGCTTGATATTTTCAGTTGATACGGCACACAGACCCACACACGCAACCTTTCTGGGATTGGCTAGTGACAGGGTCAGAAGAGAACAGAGCCCCAGGCTCAGTGGTTCAGCCTGTAATCTCAGCACTTTGGAAGACTGAGGCAAGTGGATTGCCTGAGGCTGCGGGTTCGAGACCAGCCCTGGCAACTTGGTGAGACCTCGTCTCTACAATAAATCAAAAGGTAGCACGTGCCTATAGTTCCCATTACTTAGAAGGTTGAGGTGGAAGAATCGCTGGAGGCCATCAGGTCAATGCTGGGATGGCCATGAGCATGCCACAGCACTCCATTCGGGGCAATGGAGTGAGACTCCGATTCAAAAATAAAAAAAGAACAGAGGCAGAGTGCATGTGGCCTTATTATCAGGGCACTGAAAACATATACCTGCTTCCTGATTGACTTGTCTTTTGTTGCTAGGCTCTTCTGACTCACCAGGCATGCTAACTACCTTTCCATTATGCCATGTTTGCAACTGCTGTGTTTAAGACCATCCATGCATCAACTACCTTGAAGCTTCTTTCTACTACTCTTGGAGTTCCTAGGATCACTCACCAAAGAGCCATTACAGAAAAACTCTTGCAGACTAAGCTAAGGATGTCAAAAAGTAAAAAACAGCTCTTTGTAGAGTTATGTTTTTCAGAACATGAAGAGGCCACATCTGTTACTCGTATATCAGTGCACTTACTTAGCTTCCATCTCTTGAGCATCTATCAAGCAAGTTAATAGGTATTTTCAGCTCATGCCCTAATTTAATTCTCACAGATGATACCTTGTGCCACAGAAATGCTTGCAACAAGTGGCACTGTGGCCTTTATTGCCACATGACTAGATAAAGAAACACTGTGAAAAGAGTCTCAGAAAAATTGTTACAGTATTTACCACAGGGATACTATAAATACTCTTCATTTTACTACATGTCTGTGATTCACCATGAAAATCTTAATATCCGAAATCATCTGGCTTTATCTGAGCAAATTTTTTTTTCTCGTGTAATTATTACTGCTATAAAAAAAAAATACACACACACACAGTGGTAGGGACAAGTAAAAAGATAGTAGGCATAATTACTGTTATTTGTATTCAAGATGATAGAAACAACCTAAATTTTGTAAAAAAAAAACACAAAAAAACAAAAACAAATTAAAAGTAAAAATATGAATGCTGCCAGGCTCAGTGGCTCAGCCTGTAATCCCGCGTCTTTGGGAGGCTGAGGTGAGTGGATCGCCTGAGCCCGTGGGTTCGAGACCCGCCTGGGCAGCGAGACCTCATCTCTACAATAAATCAAAAAATCAGCCGGGCGTGGTAGCGCACGCCTGTAATTCCGGCTACTTGGAAGGCTGAGGCAGAAGGATCGCCGGAGCCCAGCAGGTCGAGGCTGCGGTGGCCAGGAGCGGCCACTGCACTCCAGTCTGGGCAACAGAGTGAGACTCCAACTCAAAAAAAAAAAAAGAAATATTTAGATCAACAACTCTATGGCAAAAACAATTACATAAAGTGAGGTTCTCATTGAAATTTCCTTCAACTGATTAAAATTTTAAGCAAGTTGCTTTTACTCCAATACCAAAACTGCATTTTGTATGGAAAATACCTTTTTTGAAGGGGCTCCGGTGGATGGCACATCAATAACAGAAGGTGTGTTAGTGTAGTTTTGTAAATAGGATCCATCTCCAGGACTTGAGGTTTCTAATGGCAAAATCCCAAAACTGAGAAGAGGTTGAAATCAAGGTGTCAAAAAGTCATCAAGGCATATATAAAGCAGCAGTATACTTAAATTAGAAGGTCTAAAAGGAAGAGAATGGCAAATCAGTCTTGGGGACAGCGAGGATCTGAGGGGCAGATTAAAAATAAGTTATGACTGTACACTCTTCCACCCCCCGTAAGTAAACTTTAAAAAAGGTCAGTCGAGGAACTCAGCTGAGCAACAACTACAGATCTCAGGAGATTTATCAGACATAAAAAAAGGTGGCTTTATAAAAGCTAAGATACAAATGACCAAACTACTTCAAACTCTTGGAATTTGTGAGATTTAGACACAATTACAGAGAAAATGTAGAAATCCTTAAATGATTACAACTTTCGAGAGCTGTAACTTCATGGGCATGCAATCTGTTCCCAGGAGTCCATTCATAGTCCTTTCTGGCACAAAATTTTTATTCTTGTATTTACATGGACATGTACTTGTGATAACTCTGACAGAACACTTCATATTGACAGATGCCGTATTTCGAAGAGCAGCACTTGAGCAGCACCCAGTGTTGCTCCAATCTGTCACGAGCACGCCAACATTTCCAAAGCACTGCTCACTATGGATGCTCAGCCACCAAAACAGTATCCTTTCACATGTTCACTAGCTAATTAAGACATATTCAGGAGTCTTAAAATTTTCCATAACACTTAATATTAAATTTTCATCACACGTGCTGTATTTCTTTCACTTCATTTTCTGAAAATAGGATGCTCCTATTTAGGAAGTTGCTGTTCAAATTCATTTAAGTTACTAACAATATGAATTATTATAAGGTAAGTGAGTATCATAGTATGTTTTAAAGAATCTTTCATTTGACTTACCTTGGGGTTAATGGGCTAAGAGCAGCTGGTCCTCCTAATAAGCTTCGACCAGTTTTTGGTTTATTTTGAACCTGTTTAGATAATATTGAAGTTCCCGTTCCAAGAGGGACAGTATCAGGTGAAATTACAGCTGAATCAATATAAGACACTGAGGAATCTGTATTCAAGGAGTACTTTGAATTGGAAGATTCTAAATTCAATCTGTTTAGTTCCTGAAACAGAAAATTTCTACCATGACATTTACAATATGTTATTTAGCTACAATCATTCTTTGTAGTTTTCACAATATTTTGAACATTAGTGTATGATACACTTACAATTGTGTCCTGGGGTGTTTCTGTAAGAACCGTCTCAGGCTGTCTATGAGATAAACTATGATTAGATACTAGTGTTGTGCAGGAGTTGGGCAGACAGTTGCTAAAGTTCTGTAAAGATGTTAATTTAAATGTTTGGTCAGGATCTGGCTTTTCACCTGTGAAGACCAAAAAAAAAAAAAAAGTTTGCTTCTAAGGAAATGAGGAATACACTTTCTTGCAAGTATGTGTAAAACAACAGAAACAGGCCTTATCCAGAGTTTAGTCTCCTGTCCACTTCTGCCAATCAAATTTATCTCCCAAAAGCCCATACATCAACTTATAAAGCCATACACTTAGGAAATAAATTAAGTTGCAAGAACACTAACTTTAAGTATAATAAGTCTCAGGAAAATGCAGATTTCTGTTTGTTTTAAAGTGGAAAATAGGGCAACCCCTCAGGCCCCCTCCTGCTCTGGGAGCCTTTCTGTTCTCTCAATAAATTCTGCTTTCTCAAAAAATAATAATAATAAAGTAAATGGAAAATAACTAGACCTCATTTTTCTCAAGATAGGAAGTGAGGTTGAAGAGTTAAAGGCCAGTATGTTTTACAGGTGGAAGTACTTCCATGCATGTGGACACAGCAATGTTTAAAATGATCCTTGTACATCTGAGAGCATAGATGCTGAGACACTCTCTCCCTATATTGTTCAGGCCTTATAATTTACTACTTCAGGCATCTATTAACTTTAAAAAATTTTTTAATGAACTTATTTTCTCATTCAGAAAGCAATTTTGGCTAGGGTTAAACACACAGTACGACCTGTTCTAGAGGACACAAAATATTTAGGGTAGTTTGGCTGAACAAAAGATACTACCACATTTGACCTCAGGAGTAGAATAATGAAAGGTCACATTATTCCTGAAACATACATATGATTCTAACTTGTTTTTTATTCTCAATGTCAACAGCTCTTAGCTCTGTAAAATATTTTTCTTGTAGACAGAGGATTTAAATTAAGTAGGGAAACAGAAGACAAGGAAATGGGGAAGCCACTCACCCTCACCCCACAAACCTACCTATTTCACATAGTGATTCAAAGGGAGACCAGAGGAAAGGGTTTAAACTAAGGCTCTTTTGGTAACATTCTGACCCTTTGGCAAGCCGATCTGTCTTGCTGTGGAGAGAAATAGATGAAGTAAGCTACAAACTCCAAAACATTTAGTATAAATAAATTTTTGTCATAAAAAATTAGATAAAACTTTTATGTTCTAATGTTCTAAGAATACTCTTTTTGGTGCCTCTCTAAATTGTCAATTTCTCCTTTTTACTATCTTCAAATCTCTACAATTTAGGACAGTTCAATCTTATTCTTAATTTTTAATGTAATACCCCAGGTGTAATTTTGAAAGTGACTTAGACACTTTAAATATAGCATAGTTATACGATCAGGTTTTTTTACAAAGTAGAGGAGGTAGGTTTCAATAAAAAGTAAAATTTGTGTCTCTTTCTATATCAGGTGTATAAAGGCTTACATTTGGAATTTCAACAATATCCCTGAGAACCTATCAGAGCTTTCAAGTAAAAAATACCAGTCACTTGGTCTGAGGTTCAAATGCTTCAATATCAAATGAAGAAAATTAAGATACAGCAGTTCTTCCAAAATTCAAAGGTTTTTAAAGGGCCAGATGGCATCCAGTCAAGATTTCCAAAGGAGCCCTCAAGTGAAACTACCAGCTAAGACACATAAGAATGTGCACTGTGCTACTTGCTAGAGTGATCTCAGAGAACTATACAGATCCCTTTAGAGGACCAGATGTTAGTTTGCCTCACTTCCACATTTTCAAGTGAGTAGAAACTAGAATAGATTATGTGACAAAATAAGAAAGAACCGCCAGCTGAAGGCTGTCTAATTTCCTACACTCGCCTAACTTAAGACAATCAACACATGGCAAAGAAGGAAGCAGAAGTGGAAGGCAGGCTTTCAGAAAACGTAAATAGGTTTTGTCAAAGTCTGTACCTAAAACTGAACAGTTTGGATGCAATTTCTTTTCTTTCTCTTTTTTTAAATTGGAGTCTCACTCTGTCGCCCAGGCTGGAGTACAGTGGCACACTCCCAGTCACCGCAGCCTCGACCTGCTAGACTCAGGTGATCCTTCCGCTTCAGCCTTCCAAATAGCTGGAACTACAGGTGTGTACCACCATGCCCAGCTAATTTTTTGATTTATTGTAGAGATGAGGTCTCACCATGTTACCCAGGCTGGTCTGGAACCCGTGGGCTCAGGTAATCCTCCTGTCTCCACCTCCCAAAGTGCTGGGATTACAGGTGTGAGCCACCAACCCTGGTTTTTTGTTTGTTTGTTTAAAGAGACAAGGTCTGACTATATAACCCAAGCTGCACTTGAATACTGGGCTCAAGAGGTGTTCTCTCCTCAGCCTCCAGAGTAGATGGGATTACTGGTGAACACCACCATGCCCAGCTAAAATTTATTTATTTATTTATTTTTGAGTTGAAGTCTCACACCGGTGCCCAGGCTGGAGTGCAGTGGGATGCTCACGGCCACCCCAGCATCAACTGGCTGGGCTCAGGAGATTCTTCTGCCTCAACCTTCCAAGTAGCCAAAACTACAGACTCACGCCTGGCTAATTTTTTTATTTATTGTAGAGATGAGGTCTTGACAAGTTGCCCAAGCTGTTCTCATACCCATGGGCTCAGGCAATCTCCTCCCCTTGGCCTCCCAAAGTGCTGGGATTATAGGCTTGAGCTACCGTGCCTGGCCAATGCCATTTCTAGTTAGGACTTTTGAGTCTATGAATAAGAATAGTGGTCCTAGCCGGGCTTGGGGGCTCAGCCTGTAATCCCGCGACTTTGGGAGGCTGAGGTGAGTGGATTGCCTGAGCCCGCGGGTTCA